TGATAGGGTGACTCATCTGCTCTCCACTCCCCATTCCAGTCCAGAGCTGGACACCCACCCTTGAAGCCTAGAAGCAGGAAGAGTGTTCCACAGTGGCCTGAGAGTGGAGGCATACTCTGGAAAGAAGGGTCAGGTGTGGAGGGACTCAGTGTGTTTCTGTGCCCTTGCTCCCCTGTGGCACCCTGGTCTCCCTGCCCACTTCACCTGTCCTGCTTATCCTCATGGGGTTTGGATCCCAGCTCAACACTCAGTGGCTGAGTGTCCTTAGCAGGTGACTTCTCTCCAAACTTCAGTTTTGTCATCTGTGAAATGAGGAAAATATACCCACTTCTAGGGGTTGTTTTAGAAATTGGGAGAAAATGCTTTCCAAATTTGAAAATGTCTGCATGTCTGTTCTGCTATGCCCCTCCCCCACCCCACTCCAATAATCTGGAAGAGGTTAGGGGGTTGGGGAGGTTGGGGGTACTCTACAGTGAGTAGCTTTCTAGGTCTCCACCCCTACCTCTGACTCACAGACAGCAAGGAAGGCCTATGTCTCCTTTGCTGGTTCAGGCTGTTCCCATTCAGGCAGAAAGAGTTTGGGGTCAGGATATGAAAGGTGTGGCACCCCCACCCCTTAAGGGCCCCAGCCAGCCCCTCTGGTCCAGCAGGCTGGGACTTGCGTCTTTAGCCCTTCCCTCGCCTGGGAACCCACTCCCCCAGCTCTGACCTTACAGAAGTCATGGGCTCCCACGGGGTGCATGGGCTGTTCAGGCCCCTTCCCTGGCTCAGCCCCGCCGCCCAGTTGAGACACAGACCTTGCTCAAGATCCCCTGGCACAAGGTGGGACCTCCTCACCTGCCTCCTCCCAGCGCACCCAGGAAGGCTGGCTCCCAGCCTGCACTAAGCCCTGGCTTCCTTCCCAAAGCACAAGAGGAAGCCCAGAGGGTTGTGGATAAGCTGTGACTCAGAGAGTAAGGGCCTCACCATGCTCAGCCTCTTCTCTGAAGCCATGCTTTCTTCTGCCATCTGCTCTAAGTGTCACCAATCACACTGGCTACAGTGAGAATGACACCCTTGAGTTGCACAATGAGACAGTCAGCTTCTGTCTCCCATACTCAGGCCAGCCTGGCACATCTGCACAGACATCCTCAGACCTTGACTCCTCTTCATCCCAGGTGACCCAAGGAGGGCTGACAGGAATAAGGGGCCCTTGGAAGAAATTGCATCCTTCGCCCTCCGGGCAGGGTCCTCTCACACCCACTGAGCAGCATGCACACCTACCTAAATCTTCTCAGCTCTAACCCTAACCATTGCAATGTACAAACATGTGTACACATCAGTTATGAAGATGAGTGAGTTTGATGGGAGCACGTGGAGTCAGGTGTGAAGGTTGGGTCCTAACTGGGAAGGCAAGGGAAACAACGGCATTGACACCCAGCCCTTGTTCCACTAGCCAAACCATGTGCCTTCTTGTGGGGCTGCATTGACTGGAAGAAGTCACAAAGATGCTCCACAGTGAGCTGCAGCTCCAGGATTACAGGCACATATATGCATGCACAAATGGGTGCGTGCATGTAGCTGCACATGTGTAAATAAATGCTGCTTAATATAAACAAGATATAAAAATACGCAGTTGTGTGGGTGATCTCCCCCCAGTGCAACCCATGTGAACACTTACGTGAGCTGAGTACAAGTAGATGTGTGTGTAGGGGCCTTGCTTATGTCCGCCCCTGTTTTTCTCCTCTGCTCTGGTTCCCAGGCCAAATTTGGCTGCTAGCAGGTCCAGGATGGGGGAATGTGGGCTGGGGTTTCCCATTTTCTTTCCGTGTTGTGAAGTCCCTTGCCAGTTCCCGCCTCATACTGCCTCTGCAGCCCCACCTGTGGCCGTGAGGGGCTTTGGCTGCTAGCAGGTCCAGGATGGGGGAATGTGGGCTGGGGTTTACCATTTTCTTTCCGTGTTGTGAAGTCCCTTGCCAGTTCCCGCCTCATATTGCCTCTGCAGCCCCACCTGTGGCCGTGAGGGGCCTGAGCAGCACACTGTAGGTGGGGAGAAGAGAGAGCACATGGCTGGGGGTGCTCCCCCTCTCCCACAGCCTTTGGTCTGGGCTCTGGCAGCAGGAATCTATGGTTCTGTCTTGAGTCACAGGCGGGCAGTGAGGCCAGTGGGCAGGTTACTCAGTGATGGCTGCCTGATTCACCATGGGGCCTCCCAGCCCATGGGGTGCAGCACTCTGGGCCAAGGGCCATGAGAGGCCTCGTGTGTGGGTTCTACGTATGTGTGAGCCCATGGCCAGGCTCTTGTGTGAATAGGATCTCATGAGCTCAGTGTCTATAGGTGAGTGTGTAACTGCAAGCTGTAGGGTGTGTGTATGTGTGTGTGTGTGTGGTGGGGGACACATCAGCACATGTGTGAATCTGCCCTATGTGATTGCTAAACCTCACCTCTTTTGGCATGAACCACCTCTGGGACTAGGAAGCCCTTCTTTCTTTCTTTTTTTTTTTTTGAGATAGAGTCTCACTCTGTTGCCCTGGCTAGAGTGAGTGCCGTAGTGTCAGCTTAGCTCACAGAAACCTCAAACTCCTGGGCTCAAGCAATCCTCTGGCCTCAGCCTCCCGAGTAGCTGGGACTACAGGCATGTGCCACCATGCCCGGCTAATTTTTCTATTTTTGGTAGAGACTTGCTCTTGCTCAGGCTGGGGTCTTGCTCTTGCTCAGTCTGGTCTTGAACTCCTGAGCTCAAATGATCTGCCAGCCTCAGCCTCCCAGAGTGCTAGGATTATAGGTGTGAGCCACCACGCCCGGCTGGAAGCCCTTATTTCTCACAGCCATTCCTCAGGGCACAAGTCTCCAGTGTCCTTAGACCACCTGGATTAAGTCCCTCTTGAAAATGTATTTTCTTGGCTGGGCGGTGGCTCACGCCTGTAATCCTAGCACTCTAGGAGGCTGAGGCTGGTGGATCGCTCAAAGTCAGGAGTTCAAAACCAGTCTGAACAAGAGTGAGTTCCCATTTCTACTAAAAATAGAAAGAAATTAATTAGCTAACTAAAAATATATAGAAAATATTAGCCGGGCATGGTGGCACATGCCTGTAGTCCCAGCTACTTGGGAGGCTGAGGCAGAAGGATCACTTGAGCCCAGGAACTTGAGGTTGCTGTGAGCTAGGCAGATACCACAGCACTCTACCTGGGGCAACACAGTGAGACTCTGACTCAAAAAAAGAGAAATGTATTTTCTTGGATCTCCTCTAGCAATGCTGCCGTAGAGACTTGGTGTGAGGGCATATTCTTTGCTCCCAGTCCCATGGGAGCAGGGCCCAGGCCACCAAATCTCACTTTACCTGTTATTAAATGCAGCATAGGGCAGGCATGGTGGCTCATGTCTGTAATCCTAGCACTCTGGGAGGCCGAGGCGGGTGGATATCTCAAGGTCAGGAGTTCGAAACCAGCCTGAGCAAGAGTGAGACCCCGTCTCTACTATAAATAGAAAGAAATTAATTGGTCAACTAATATATATAGAAAAAATTAGCCGGGCATGGTGGCACATGCCTGTAGTCCCAGCTACTCAGAAGGCTGAGGCAGGATCGCTTGAGCCCAGGAGTTTGAGGTTGATGTGAGCTAGGCTGACGCCACAGCACTCACTCTAGCCTGGGCAACAAAGTGAGACTGTCTCAAAAAAATAAAATAAAATAAAATAAAAAAATAAATGCAGCATGAAGAGCATGCCCCATGATTTCCCTCAGATGGGTCTGACTCCCCTACAATTTAGCTAGCGTAATTTTTTTTTTTTGAGACAGAGTCTCACTTTGTTGCGCAGGCTAGAGTGAGTGCCATGGCGTCAGCCTAGCTCACAGGAACCTCAATCTCCTGGGCTCAAGCAATCCTACTGCCTCAGCCTCCTGAGTAGCTGGGACTACAGGCATGCGCCACCATGCCCGGCTAATTTTTTTTGTATATATAGTTTTAGTTGGTCAATTAATTTCTTTCTATTTTTAGTAGAGACGGGGTCTTGCTCAGGCTGATTTTGAACTCCTGACCTTGAGTGATCCCCCTGCCTCGGCCTCCCAGAGTGCTAGAATTATAGGCGTGAGCCACCGAGCCTGGTCTAGCTAGCTTAATTTTGTAAAGAAATAGACTCTTCCATGGCCAAGGATTAGCCAGATGGGAGAGGAGAGGGTTAAAAACAGCTGGGACTCACCCACCTGGCAAGCATGTGGCATGTGGCATGTCAGGACAACTGCAGATCAGCCTCTGCAGCCATGTGAGCAATGCACGCAGGTACACGTGTGGTGTGACAAGCTCAGTTGACCTAACCATGTTCAACAGACATGTGCACAGCCATGAGGAATGCCTAGCCATGTGGTCAGGCACACAGGATATATACCATGTGTGGACACAGCTGCGGACAAAGCTGACCAGGACATGCAACATGTGACATGCATTTACAGCACAAGAAGGGCCCACAAAATCTGGCTGAAACTCAGAATGTGTGTTCTGTGGGCCCACCTGGGTCTGGATTGTGTGAGGGCCTCATCTTACCTGAGGCCCACAGCCTCCTCCCTCCAGTCCCCTGACTAAAGAACTGCTGGGTGCAGTCATCTTTGGAGAGCTGGGGCCAGTGCCCTTTTGACGGGTCCCTCCCGCCCCCACCGTGGTGGGATGACCACAGGACTCACTGTGAGTAGGCACAGGGCGTCTCTTTCTTTGGCAGCTCCATTCTCCCCAGCCATGGCCCGGTACACTACCTATACCTCTCCCCCATCGGCTGTAAGATCCCCATAATCCTCTCTTGGGCCCCCCCTAATCCTTTCTCAGCCCCCTTCACCTAAGTGCCCTCTGAGAGCCACCCCACCCTCAAAGCTGCTCACACCCATGGCCCTCGACCTTCCTCACCATCTCCCCCACCCAGCTTCCCTACCAGCCTCCCCAGGCCAGGTGGGGGGAGGCCGTCCCCTCCTCCGCCCTGAGCGGGGCTAAGCGGGCGGGGCGGGCGGGGCGGGCGGGGCCGTGCCTCCGCGCTCCTATAAAGGGCGCCACCAGCGCTCGGGGCCACACTCTCCTCGCCCGCCGCCCCTGCCTGCCAGACCGCGCCGCCGCCTGCTCCGCCATGGGTCGACAGAAGGAGCTGGTGTCCCGCTGCGGGGAGATGCTCCACATCCGCTACCGGCTGCTTCGCCAGGCGCTGGCTGAGTGCCTGGGGACCCTCATCCTCGTGGTGAGTGGAGGGAGCCCGGGAAGCCCTGCTCCCTCCAGCCCCACACTCCCCAACCCCTCTGTTCGCCCCAGGGGCTGAGCTTTTCATGACAGCCTGACCCACTTCCCCACCTCTGACTCCAGGCTTAATCCCCGAGGGTCAAGCTGACCCCCCCGAAGTCCTCTTCCCCATAGTTCTAACTCCAGTTCTGGCAGCTCTGACTCTTGCCGGAATGACAGCTGTTACTCCTCTGTGACAGCTGTGATCCTTTACCTTCCCACCAGTGACCTCCTCAGGCTGGGGGCTGTGGTCACCCTGCAGTCTGGGACCGCCAGCCCCTTTCCTGCCTTTGCCCCCCCCCTGCGGGGTTCCCAGAGTCCCGGCCCTGGGAGGCAGGGGAGGGGGCAGAGGCAAATGAGCCCCATTAGGTTATTTGGGTCCTGGGTGTCTGGTTCCTAATGAATAATTAAGCCTCAGAAAGTCCAAAAGTTGCAGTGAAGTGAGGGCAGTATGCCACAGGTGGGGGCAGAGGGCGGAGGCCACAAGGGGCTGCAAACAGCAGAGGTGGGAGGGAGAAGGAAGCACCTGAAGATAGGAGGCTATAGGAGGAAGCCAGGGCCCCAAGCACAGAGGACATGGGGTGTCCAAAGTTGCTCCCCGAGTGCTGAGTGACTCCCAGACCCTGACAGATGCTGTCAGACAGATGCTGTCAGTGGCTGTGCAGAAGATTGCCAGCACTCTGAGTTACCCTGTCGGTTCTCTGAGTGAGATATTTCCCCTGCTCAGTTACTTCTCAGTCCCAGTTACTTCTTGGTTACACCAGTTTCGCCCCAGTTTGTTCCTGGGTGACTCTGTTTGCACTTCTTGGGTCTGGCAGACACGCCAGTTATGTTCTTCATTTCCTGTCCCAGTTACTGTCTCATTTTCAGCCGCTCATGTGGTTACACCTGTTTTCCTCTGGGTTACTTCTGGGTTCAGTTGCTCCATTGCAATGGGTGGGTAACTCCCTGCCCTAGTCCCAGCCCCAGGTAACACAGACCAGCTGGTCCCCTGTGGCTAGGAAGCTTAACAGAGGGCAAGTAGGTCTGAGGAAGCCCACCCCAAATGGGTGGCAGCAGAGGAGCACTCTGTGGGGAAAGGAAGGCTGAGACTCACCTCTAGCTTCCAACAATAGGAAGGGGGAAGCCACGTGGGGCATTTTATCCACAGCCCCTCATAAGACTAGTGGCTCTACCAGTCCTCCCCACCCCGCTCTCCCATGCCAAGAAGGGAATGGGAGGCGGCAGTTATCACCCGCCTGCCTTAGAGCCCCTACTCTCTACCTGATTCACGAGAACAGCCAGGACAGGGGAGGGTGTCCCCCATTTTCATGGGGGGGGGACTCCTTATTCCCTCCCAAGTTTCAGTTTGCCTCCCTGCACAAAGGAGCAGTCAGTCCTCACACTGAGCCTCAGGACTGTTTGGCTTATCCCAGACCACAAAAGGAGGGTGTCACAGCTGTGGAGAAGGCTTTCAGGCTCAGGTGCATGTGAGGCATTGAGTATCAGCGAAATGGAGAACCTCAAGGACTGCCTGAACAGGAGGGGCAGGCCTGGGGACCCCTGAGTGGCAGGCGAAGGACACCTGCATACCTCTGTGGGCTGGTGTCCTAGCGCCTGTAGTCGGAGGGCTGTCTTTGGGGTGAGGAAAGCCCCTTTCTTTGGGGTACCTAGTAGGGTGGAGGGGGGCTGACCAAGAACATGGGGCCGGGGGGTGGGGGAGGAAGAGGAAGATTAGCCCCAAGGTGGTGGAACTGGCTCTGACAACTCCTCCCACCAAGGTGGCCTGGGATGGAGCCAGGTCTGGGCCTCAGACAGGCAGGCAGGCAGGCAAGGAGCTGAGGCCAAGGCCTGCCAAGTCGGGCAGCGTGCCCCAGACCCCCACGTGCCTGCCTCCCACCACCCCTCCTCACGCTCACAATCTCTGATCTTTGCTCTCACCTGCCTGCATCACTGCCTCTGGCTTCCCCACTATCTCTTGGTCTTTCTGATGATAATCAAAATACCTAACAACCTAGTATAGCCAGCACTGACCCATCTCAGTGAACAGGGCCCTTAGCGCAGGGCTTGGGAACTACCTGCTGTGTCGGCATAAAACCTTTAGTTATGGGCAGGTGGGAGAGGACACCTGGGGCAGGGGCTGGAGCAGCTTTGGTGGACACACCAGGGGCTCAGGGCAACAGCGCTATACAGTCCCTACAGAGCGTTCTCACGTGTGAACAAGGCAGACAGACATACAGTATGTCCTGTCCTGCAGAACACCAGGGACCTTAGTCCCCTTCAGTGCCCCCATCCCTGGTAGAAAATGTAGAACCAATCTCCTCACTTCCACTGCCCTGGGTCCCAGACTGGGGACAGTGAGAGGAGCCACTCAGATCCCTGTCTTTAGGACCTCCAAACCCTAGAGGGGAGGCTGGACCCATGGCAGCACAAAGGTCAGGTGGGTGGCGCAGTGAGGGTGCTGAGAGGGGCACATGCTCTGCCGTCCTGGATTCAGAAGTGGATTCACCTCACTTCTGGCCTCCTCCCGATTGTGCTTCCTGTCACCACCATGACTACCACCTGAGCTCTTCTTGGGACAGCTGGGGATGAGCGAAAGCCTTCCTTCCTCTAGGGGCCAGGCCTGAAGGGCTGTGGGGAAACTATGTTAAGGTGGTGAAAGCTGTTCCCCTACACCCCGTGCCTGGATTCAAGGAGAATCAGTGAAGAGAGTTCAATCATCTATGGGCTCCTTGTCACAGACCCTGCTTCCAGGCCCTTCCACAGGGCCCTCTTATATTAGAGTTGGGACATTGGGTGCAGGAGGGTATGTCTCTCTCTTTTGGGGAGTGCAATTGCAGCAGAAGGGGTTTGGGCTGGATTCCAGGAAGGACCTCCAGTCCTTCCAATGGTGGCAGGCAGAGGTTGCCCTTCTTGGCTTCACCCCTTCCTTCTGGAGAGAGAGTTGCTGGTCTTCATTCTCCCTTCCCTGTTCTGTTTCCTGATACAGATGTTTGGCTGTGGCTCTGTGGCTCAGGTTGTGCTCAGCCGGGGCACGCACGGTGGTTTCCTGACCATCAATCTGGCCTTCGGCTTTGCTGTCACCTTGGGCATCCTCATTGCTGGCCAGGTCTCTGGTAAGGCCTTAATCCCTCCCTCTGTCCTGGCCCCTCAACAGCGAAGTTCCCACCAGGTATCCCACTGGGGGACGGGGTGGCAGGCCATTCCCCAGGGCAGGTCATAGCTGTGGCCTCAGCTTTGGCCCTTGGGAGAGGAGAGTGGAGAAGGAACTTGACCCTTAGAACCTTTGACACTCACCTCCCAATCAGAGATTATCAGAGATGGCCTGTTACATAGTCCAACCACTATCCTGTACAAGAGACTCTTCTCTCTGCACCCTTCTCACTGGGGCCAGAGAGGGGCAATATGTGGGGGGCCTGGGCCTCCCCATTGTGGCAGGCTGTAGCTAAGAGATCCTGTCTCCCCTCTGCCCAGGGGCCCACCTGAACCCTGCTGTGACCTTTGCCATGTGCTTCTTGGCACGTGAGCCCTGGATCAAGCTGCCTGTCTACACCCTGGCTCAGACGCTGGGAGCCTTCTTGGGTGCTGGGATCATTTTTGGACTATATTATGGTAAGCATTTCCCACTCTGCTCTCCTGCACTGCCCCCTGCCTCTGCTCGGGACCTGCTGGCACCAGGCCTTTTGATGACAGGCATTTGGGGCCTGCCCAGGCCCTGGGCTCATGACTCACTCATTCACGCACAGGCCCAAGGTGGGGGGCATGAGAGGAAAGAAACAAGTTGGGCAACAAGAGTCTCAGGCCCTCCGCCCCACCCTGCTCCACCCCATTTGCCTCCAGAGTAATATAGCAGTGAAGATATTCACCCGTGACCCCTGGGAGGGTGGGAAGGACTCAGCCTGAGAGGGGAGCCTGGACTCGGGCCTCTGCCTCCACCCACTCTGGGTCTAATCTGTTACCAGATGCAATCTGGAGCTTCGCCAACAACGAGCTTATAGTCTCAGGCCCCAATGGCACAGCTGGCATCTTTGCCACCTATCCCTCTGGACACTTGGACATGGTCAATGGCTTCTTCGACCAGGTATGGACAGAGGGGACATGAGGGGAACACAGGGAGGGGGACCAAGTTGCCCTGGTTGCTCATGGGCTGGCTGGGGGCAGGACTCCTCGACTATAGCAGAGTTTCTCAATTTTGGGGATCATCTGCATCAGAACACGGTGGCAGGTACTTATAAAACCCAGCTCTTATGCACACAAACATTCTAGCGCCACTGCTTTAGAGAGCAGAGCAAGGGAGATAGAGCTGGAGAGAAGGCAGAGGACAGGAGGGAAGGGAGTGTGGGGAGGGGGCGGCTCCTCACCCTGTTCTCCCACCCCCCAGTTCATAGGCACAGCCTCCCTCATCGTGTGTGTGCTGGCCATCGTTGACCCCTACAACAACCCCGTCCCCCGTGGCCTGGAGGCCTTTACCGTGGGCCTGGTGGTCCTGGTCATCGGCACTTCCATGGGCTTCAACTCTGGCTATGCTGTCAACCCTGCCCGGGACTTCGGCCCCCGACTTTTCACTGCCATCGCTGGCTGGGGCTCTGAAGTCTTCACGTGAGTACAGACCCCACCCAGCTTAGTCCTGCCTGCCTCTGCTCTGCCCTGCCCCGCCCCACCCACCCCTGAACACATGTGTCTGTTCCCCAGGACCGGCCGGCACTGGTGGTGGGTGCCCATTGTCTCTCCACTCCTGGGCTCCATCGCGGGCGTCTTTGTGTACCAGCTCATGATTGGCTGCCACCTGGAGCAGCCCCCACCCTCCACTGAGCAGGAGAATGTGAAGCTGGCCCATGTGAAGCACAAGGACCAGGTCTGAGTGTGCAGGGGGCCACCCCCCCAGCCCTGAGCATCACTGACTGTGCAGGGGCCACTCCCTAGAAGCCCCCTTCACGATCCCCCCTCAGGCTACGACACTCCCTATCTACCTGCACCCCCTGGACAGTCCCCTTCAGGATCTCCACTGGACCCTGCCCAGATAGGACCCTCGACCACCACCTTAAGCTCTGGAGGAACAGGGAGTAGGGCCAATACATCCTTTCGTCTCCCAAAGGGAGAAAACGGGCATCAGGTGTGTGTGTGTGCATGTGTGTGTGGTTTCCCAGATATTCAGGACAAGGGACCAAGTAGAGAGGATTCTATCTGTAGGGGGAGCCCAGAGACGAGAAGATGGCGTGTCGCTCTGTGAACGCGAAGGTGCCAGAGTGCGCATGTGTCAGGGGCTCCATATGGAGGAGGTCCAGGTGAATGTTTCTGACTGTGTGTGTGTGTGTGTGTGCCCTTTTTTCTAAGCAGGGGCTTCTATAGGCTTTGGGATCAAGGGGTGGATATGCGTAGGGCTGGGAGGAGGGGCCGCAGCCCTGGTTTGGAGCTCTGGCTGGACATAGTGGGAGCTGTGTAACATGTTTCTGTCATAATGTAGGCATAACGGGGTGGGGTGAAGTCCAGGTCATAAGTTTCATGTTTGCTTTTGTTTTGTTTTTGTTTTTTAATATGTATAGCACATGTTACAGTCTTAGGGATGGGAGTTGGAAGACCCCTCTTTAAAAGGGGTCTTCACTCCTTTAATCTTCTACTCAAAAATGTACTCTTTTGCCTTTTATAAAAAAACAATAAAATGTATCCTTGAAAATGCCAATTGTGCAAATATCCTTCTGCTTGGTCTGCTGTTTTTCTGGGGCCAGTTAAGGAGCTTCAGTGTATCTGCGCAATTACTGTCAGTGCCCAGCTGGGTGTCTAATGTGGTCTGGGGACCCTGGTGGTCATACCCTGGCCTTGCCAGGGTAGGCAGGGTCAGTCACTGAGAGCCTCTTCACCAAGCCTCTCAGTTTGAACTCAGCAGTTCCAAACTTCACACCTTTGCTCCAAAGTCCTAACTCACATCTTTGCTCATTAAAGTCCTCCTGATCTGCTTTAATGCCTTCTTCTCCAGGAAGTTGTCCCTGCTCTTCCCACCATCTTCAACAGTCAGTTGTCGAAGCCCTGAGACCACAGTTTCATTCATCCATTTCTTCCCCTCTGCTCAACTTCTTCAGTCGGAGGCACCTCTGTGCCCACTGGGGCACCCTGACTCTGCACCCTGACTCACCCAGGGAAGCAAGGGGTTCTTCCTGGGCACACCTGAGCCCAGGAAGCTCTTCTCATTTTCTCCTTCCTTACCAGATCCTCCTCAGCTTTCACTGGGAATACAAAGGAAGGCATCCCTTACCCACTTCCTGTCTCAGAGTTAACCCCATGGGAGCTGGAGGATCCCTGGATACAGTAGGACAATTGTGGTTCTTAGATGCTGAGCCAGCTCTTGCTCCCCAACCTTCACAGATGAGGAGCCCATGGTCCAGAGAGGGTGGGTGGCAAACACAAGGTCACATAGCCAGGATTCCACCTGGGGAGGTGGGGGTGGGAAAATGCAATTCCAACTCAGGTCTCTACCCCTTCCTGGTTCGGAGCTCCCAAGAGGCGTGTCTGGAATGTGGGAGGGACTTGAGCCAGAGGGAGTGTCCCCTTCCCAGGCCCTGGGGGAAGGAAGGCTAAACCTGGGAGGGGAATGTGGCTGCAGAGTTTCATTCTAGCCACACCAGCCCCACCTGTGGTGCCCCCACCCTGCCACCCTCCCCAGCATGCCCCAAGTCCTGACCTCCCTTTCTCTCCAATCTTGCTGTTGGCTCTGACTAGTCACAGCAGGAGGTAGGGGCAGGCCTTCTGGTGCAGCAAGTAATGGGTAATCGGACCTGGCTTCCAGGCCCAGCTGGGCCTCTCTCTGGATGTATGACCTTGGTGTGGTCATGTTCTTTTCCTGGGCCTCAGTTTCCTTATTTGTGAATTAGGAAATATTGAGAGGAGAAAATAATGGAACATAATTCATGAAAAGAACTTAATACAGTGACCAGTGGATGGTAAATACTCAATAAATGTTACCTCCTGATTGATTATTCCTACAGAACCGGAGATGGGGGTGGGGAGGTAGAAGTGGAGGGGGGAAGCTGAGGGCTGTTTTCTAAAGGTCATTGAGGCTGGGTTCACCTGTAATCCTGGCACTTTGGGAGGCGGGCCCAGGAGGATTGCTTGAGGCCAGAGGTTCAAGATCAGTCTGGGCAACATAGTGAGATCCCATTTCTACAAAAATCAAACAAAAAAATTAACCAGACATGGTGTCATGCGCCTGTAGTCCTAGCTACTTGGGAGGCTGATGCAGGAGAATCGCTTGAGCCCAAGAGCTTGAGGTTGCCGTGAGCTATGATTGCAACACTGCACTCTAGCCTGGGCAGAGACCCAATAGAAAGTGTCAAAAAGAAAGTCACTGAATTCAACTCCTCTTCCTCCTCAGATTCCTTCCATGGATTCTGAATTTCCTGAGGGGAGGGAGGAAGAGTAGAGGCAATGGCTATGGCATCCTGACTCTAGAAGGCTCCTGGGAGGGACCAAGGGGAGACAAGAGTGGCCCACACACAGTTATACAGGGCAGAGGAGCCTGCAGCTGCACAACTGTGAGAGAAAGGGTAAGGCCTGGCCAGAACCAGGAGCAGTGGGTCAGAGAGGGACTGGTAGGGACACAAGCCATGCAGTAGCTGTGTGAACGAACCCTCCAGGGGAAGAAGGGAAGCTCCTCATCCCCAGGTATGCCTTCCTTCAGTACTTCTGGCTGATAGAAAGTTCTAGAAAGAAAACTCTTCATCTCCCATTCCATGTAATCCATTTACATGATGGACATAGAAGAATTGTCGCATGGGAGGGTAGCTACATCCCATGCATCACCCTGTCCCCTCTTCCTGCACTGAGCCCTCCTCACAGCCCACTGTGGAGGAGCCCATGTTTCCTTAAAATTCTGACCTGCTTGGATTAAAATCAGCTTCCCTGAAACTTGAGCTTGGTTCCTGTTTCTTTGTATGCCTGCCTCAGTATGTGTGCGCACATGCAAGTGTGCATTTCTCAGTGTTTCTGGGCGTGTCTTTCTTTTAATATGTCTGGTTATATCTCTATGGGTCCCAGCCTCTGGCAGACCATGTGCCTGTCACTGCCTGACTCTTTATGTCTGGGTCTTTCTTCGTATGCCTCTGAGAGAACATCCTGTGAACTTCAGAGGCACATCTGTGTGTCCTTCAGAGCACATCTCTCTCTGCACCCGGTGCACATCTCTGCGTGTGCCTACCAGTGACTCTCCTGCCAGCCCAATCCCGCTCGTCTTCCCCCAGGGCATGCCTCCTCCTTAATTCCTTGTAATGAGCTCCCTCCTTCTAACTCTTTCCCCTTGATTTTGTTTTTCTGAAAACCTGGGTGGGGCACCTCTAGGTTTGGGGAAACGTGGGTGGGGTAGAGCTGGGTGGGGTGGGAAGGGGAGAAGAGGGACTTCTCCACCCAGTAGAGACCTCTGAGGCCAGGGACACCCCCAATCCTCCAGGAAGGGTCTCTGAAGGTGCTGGCCTAGGCAGGGTCCTGGACCTTCTCACTGGGGAGGAGGAGGCCTGGCCTGGGTGGGGCCCCTGAACTGAAGGCCCAGGAAATGCAGGTAGTGCAAAGAGATGAGACGCTGAGACGCCGAGGCACTCAGGGAGACGGAAAGGGGCCTTGCCAAGTAGAATGCCTCTGAGTCCCAAGGGAGCAGAGAAGTGGCTGTGTCTGCCCAGCAGCTGGGGGTGCGCTCCTCAGGGGCTCAGCATCTCCATGCCTGGGGCTTTGGCCTTTGGCACCGGGTTTATTTGAAGTAAGGGAGAGGGTGGCTGCCTGTCTTGGGCACCTAGGCGGTGGAGGGTGCCAAAGGAGACTGCTTCTTCATGTAAAGGAGAAACTGAGGCCCAAAGTGTCACCTAGGGTCACAGAGCAGGGCAGCAGAGCCCAGACCAGAACCCAGTCTTCACAACCTCTTCCCCAGAGAGTATCACTGTGCCACATCTCAGGGAGCATGGCTCTGGATCCAGATCACCTGCGTTCCAAACTAGCCCTTTCCTGCCCTGGGACCTTGGGAAGGCTGGAGTCTCCATTTCAGATCTAATCTCTGCAGGCTGCATCACCTGGGCCAGCCTGGCAGTCCAGCTTAGATCTATCCCTCCCACTGCAGTGGGGCCAGGGGAGAGGGAGGCCAGAGCCCCTTTCCCACCCTAGGTCTTTCTCTAGAAAACTCAGACTCCTGAGAAAGGTGGAGCTGGGCAGCCCCCCACCTTGTGGAGCTCAGGGGTCTGGCAGGGACTGAGAGTGGGGGCACATTAGGGGTCTGGAGGGATGTATATACAAGGTCCCAGGAGGGACTCAATCCCTGAGAGGCTTGAGGGAAAGCAAAATTCCAATCTGTATTTACTACTCTTGCTCCACAGCCCCTATCAGGAAGTCCATCCTAAGGTCTTAATGGTGTTAGTGTGTCCAGAGATCTCTGATGATAAAGCCTTAAACCAGATCCCATTGCCTTGGCCAACTCCTTCCATCTCCTACTGCGGGGAAGCCTGAGGGGAAGCCATACTGGGACTCTCCCTTTGCTATCTTGCCTCTGCCTTTTTGGATGCTCCTGTGAGGAGCAATGGGGCCCTGTCAGGTTTCCTCCCTGCACTCATATCTAAGGAGACCTGGCTGGGAGAGGCTGGAGGAGGGGACTCTGGGAACCCCGATAATCATCTGGACATGGTCCACCACTCATCTCCATGGAGACCCCCACATAGCCCAGGAAGCACCTGGAATGTTTTGCTACCACCCTCATCCTTCCTTCGCCTCTTTGCTCAGGGTCACTGACAGGGCTGGGCTGGAAACCAGGGGAGGGAGGGAAGGAGGTGGCCTGGCCTGAAGGGGAAGGCCCATCTGAGGGAGCTCTCTCCTGATGGAGGTAACTTTTAGCTGGAGGATCCCCACTTCCATGCCAGAGATGGGGAGGGGAGAGTGATCCCTGGCCTATGAACAAAGTCTTTCTTTTATCAAAATAAGGGTTTATAGCTTGAGCCACCTTTGGCCCTTGGAGGTGCATGTGTGCCCACACACATGTGAGGGTGCATCTGCTGGGACTGATGAAGGACTGGGGGTGTGCACACACACAAACACATTTCCACCCCCACTTGCTCGCCTACACACGCGTGCACACTCACTCCCGCCACACTCGACCCCTCTGCATAGCTCACACACACACTGCTGCATTTGCAGGCTGCGCACACACCTGTGCTTCACACCCTTACCTCCGCACAGACTCTTCCAGTCATGCGTGCTTAAGATGCACTCACTGTCAAACACACACTTACCCACGCTCCTGCTTGCGGAGGCCAGAAGCCACATCTGCGCCCTGAGTCTGACAGGCTGGAAGTGTGTATGTAGTTAAATGCAAGAATGGGGATAATGACCAGGGGTTATGATGCCCCAAATGAATCATGGGGGTCAGGATGTGGGGTTGGGAAGTCTTTAGGGTTTTTTTGGTTTTTGTTTTTTGTTTCAAGAGGCAGGGTGTCACTTTGTCACTCAGGCTGGAGTGCAGTGGCCTGATTATAGATCACTGTAATCTTGAACTCTGAGACTCAAGTAATCCTCTTGCCACAGCCTCCTGAGTAGCTGGGACTACAAGGGCATGCCACTATGCTTGACTAATTTTTTAAAAAATTTCTTGTAGGCTGGGGGCGATGGCTCACAGCTGTAATCCTAGCACTCTGGGAGGC